CCCGAAATTACCACGGGAACGGGAATTAGCGGAAAAATACTTAAAATAACGGGAGTTAACCGCTGAAGATAGATGAAGGGGGTAAAACGGGATCCACGCGTACGAAGTCGCGGGCGGCCGCTAGCTATCATCTATCTATCTATATAAATAAAAATGAATTGATGTTCGTTAGTCTGATTATAACTCGAGAACGACTGGGCCGATTGAGCTGATTTTGGTTTTAAAATGTTTGTCGTAGTCCAGGTCTAAACGGTGAGTAAATACGCGCGCGACATTGTTTTTCTGTGACAGACATAATTCCATGCGGGCGAAGCCGCGGGCGGAAAGCTAGTTTTAAATTTAATATTGCTGCACCTTGCCCTTGATGAACCTCCACGTACATGATGAAGTTTTAATTATTTACAATGATTGACTTTCCATTTTCCATCCAATACTTAATTTTAATATTGAAATTTTCATTTTAAAGTAGAGTTGATAAAATAAATTTTCAAGAACCATAGGTATTAATAATGGTCGCCTACATACCTACTGAAAAGTTTTGTCATAGTCCATGTGAGAAGCCATATACATTTAAATGTGGCGAGGTCCATTCGGAAAAAACAATGCTTTTTTCAGCTAAAAGTTTACCCTGACGTGCTTATCTAATACTTGGATATTGGAAACTGATAACTATTCATTAGTATAATGACATTTGACTGAATGCCACTGTTCCGAGTAAATTCCAATACGTAGCGTAAGCTCAATACTGTAATCTAATAAATCAACCGTCATCGTTTAATCACGTAGTTTCTAGTAGCTGTTCCATTTCATTACGCTACCTGTATCAGGCAGATAATCTCAATGCAATACGAGATTATACATGCAACAGAAACGTTGATGTATTCAATTATGAAGCACACACGCAGAGGATCGTGCACTGATATAATTTAGATGTGAATTTAATCTGTGCAACGGTAGGCAGACATTATTAATTTACCAGGAATGAACCGTCCAGCCCCCCTGCTCTTCAATTCGATTTGTCTGAGGCTTGGGTTTCATGATCTGGCAAAGTGACACTGACGTGTTCGTGTGTGAGCCTTAATTCAACGGGATAAGGAACATTACACGCGTGAGCCACAAAATAGTGAGCGCTCCGACTGGCCGCACAGCAGCCACCGGATCAAATTCTCAATAGCTGAATGGCTGTTACTTCAAAGACCGTTAACATGATGGTAGCGTTTCTGCATACTAGCTCAATGACAATGCCTAATACAATCACGATTATAACAAAGGTGAAAATTATTTTTACCCTAACTACTCTCTAATTTAATTTAATTTAATTTATAACAATTGATAACTTTGAAATTATAATTAGACATCAAACAAAAACTGAGTAGAACCTACAATTTTTTTCATTCAAGACTGGTTTTACAGAGTGCGCAATTTTTCTACCAAAAAAGTAATAACTCGAGAGGAAACAAAATAGGGTGCAATAGCGCGGAGGAAGAGAATGCTAATTAAATTTAATTCTCAAAGGTGCTCTTTTAATTAAATCTTAGCACCGGCTTAGGATCTATTTTGATATCCATTTTGCTATCATGCTACGTTAGTTAAATTAGACGCTAGTATGTCTGAATTTGTGATACGATTGTAATAACATAGACGCTTGCGTTACCTGTTTCGACATACAAGCATTTATGTGAATGCAAGACTGTAAGCAGCTTAAAATCTATGTTGCGAATATGTTGTTAGTAACGAGGAGGTTCAAAGGGAAGACACGTTGATGCAGTTCTCCGTATCATGTTAATTAATTAATTTAATATCTTTTACTTGATGCAGCAAAACTTTGCTGCTTTGTGTCCGGCTTATCTTTCATGTCTCATATCAATATCTACAGTAAAGTCGCTTCATTTACATTAGTGGAGTTCTTTATCCACGTACGTCGGTTCACAAATTAATTACTCCTTTGTGATGACAAATATTATTAATTAATGCAAAAGCTGTCGCTATGAGAATCGTAATTCACGGAGTGTGATAAAATTTTCGTTATTTAAATTCACATTAATGAATATATTGTGACAATGATCGCTGTTGCATGATACCTACAATTATGAAAATAATGAAATAATATTCATACAGTCCGTTTCGTTTCGTTTCAGCCAAATGACGTCCACTGCTGGACAAAGGCCTCCCCCAAGGTTTTCCACAATGAACGGTCCTGCGCTGCCCGCATCCAGGCTCTTCCCGCGACCTTTACCAGATCGTCGGTCCACCTAGTAGGAGGCCTGCCCACGCTACGTTTTCCAGCCCGTGGTCGCCACTCGAGAACTTTCCTGCCCCAACGGCCATCGTCTCTACGAGCTATGTGCCCCGCCCACTGCCACTTGATTTTAGCAATTCTGCGAGCTATGTCGGTTACTTTGGTTCTCCTACGGATCTCCTCATTTCTGATTCGATCACGCAGGGAAACTCCGAGCATAGCCCGCTCCATCGCCCTTTGGGTGACCTTGAGCCTTCTTATGAGGCCCATAGTAAGCGACCACGTTTCGGATCCATATGTCAACACTGGCAACACACACTGCTCGAAGACTTTCGTCTTGAGACACTGCGGTATTTCGGACATGAGTATATGGCGAAGCTTCCCGAACGCTGCCCATCCGAGTTGGATTCGACGATTGACCTCTTTCTCGAAGTTGGACCTACCTAACTGGACTGTTTGTCCCAGGTATACATAATTGTCGACAACTTCGAGTGTAGAGTCTCCAACCTTCAGAGGAGTGGGTGCAACACGGACATTAGACATGATTTTTGTCTTGTCCATGTTCATTCTGAGGCCCACTTGTTGAGAGGCTCTACTGAGCTCAAAAACAGTCCGTTTAAATTAACATTATTTTGTCTGTCAGTGTAAATTAACATTTTTGAATATTGAAAAGTTGGTCGTTAATGAATTTAATTTATTTAATAATTTATTATTTTAATTACCTACTTCTAGCTGCGACTTTGCTTGCCCACTATAGTTAGTCACAATAAGAAGTATAAAAATGTTAATACTTCTTATTGTGAAATTGTTGACCACCAGTATAACTTCGTCTCCTATTTCCTCCTTTTTATGATTTATTGTTCCTAAGAAGTTCCTAAAACTTGAACCTACCAAAACTTTATTTTACATATTCAAAGGTTTGAAAAAATCTCGTCGGTTCACCGTGTCCACAAGTCAAACAATATCCAGTCAGAGAGCTAGTGGAATTGAGACCCGAATCATTTATAAATGGGGGTGACTGGGCGGCGATATAGGAGGGGAAAGGTGCCGAACTGCATTTTGCATGAGCTCTGTCGGTTGGCCGATCTACCTCATTTCTCTCCACTACATATATCTGATCGTTTTATTGTTATTATTTTTAGGGGCTGTTATTGAACTGTGAGTTAGTCTGTAAGAACTACTCTTCCGTTTAAGCGAAAGACATTATTATTATATTTTTGACTTGTTTTGTTTATACATAGGTACCTACTTACTTAATTTCAGAAGGAGGTGATCTTTTCAACAAATTAAAATCACTACTACAATAGACAGTTTGACACCATACCCCAATAATTCGAAACCACAACTGTTTTAAAAAGACCCTTCATTCTGGTCTTAAAAACTTAATTTATTTTAAATTACCTGTAAATTACGATTTTTGTTCGCATTGTAATTGAAAAAAGTTGTTTAATTGAGTTGACAAAATAGTGACGTCACTTGCTTGTAGTGCCATACAAAATCTATGGGAGAGTTTCGTTTTGACAGTTTTAAAAAGTACGTCAATTGACTGTGGTGTCAACATGTCTATTGACATTCACTTTGTAGGTTCTCTAAAATATACCTAATTATTGGAAGGTAAAAAAAAAACCTTTAGAATAGTTATTATCGAATTATAAGTAGGTATACGCCTTGTTGTACTCTCAACGAAAGTACTTATCCTTACTCATACATAAAATTTACCATAAAAGTAATTACTTATCGTACTTCCTCATTGCAACATAGCAAAACACTTTAAGATATTCAACTCTTACGTTTGTTTGAAACGCATGAATATAAAGAAAGATTAATTTTAACATTATACGATTTGATTTCCTCAAATCAAAACCACAATCCTACGTTCACATTCGCTTTCATTATGTATCAATCACGTATTCCTATATTTAATTCATAACGACGTAGCAGCACTACTACGACATAAAGGATGAAAGTGGTCATAACATAGAAAATAATCCAGCCGAAATACAGTTTAGTGGCTATATCGCGAGCTGTGAGTGACCCAGGGCTTCCTGAATGCTTGCTTCAGAATTAGGGTGAATTTTTTATGAAGACGCAGGTAGGGAGGCGGGAAGGCGGAGTCGCCTGCCCGGTCTGCATATTGCATTAGATTTAAATTGTTTACGTCGTTAAGAAAGAAAGTTCTCCTCAACTGTTCAAGGCGCAGAAAAGTTCTTGGGATGTTTAATTTTTCCGCATAATCGTATGGGAATTGTTGTGACCTTCTTTTTTAATTTCGAAAGTAACTTTGAAATACAACGACAGTAAATCAAATTGTCGAACAACGTAACGTACTTTCTTGTTTACGGTTGGGAAATGCTTCTAGATTGATTAATATAATAGGAGCTATGGGCATGTTGTAATAGTATTGTTTTGTTACTATTCCATTGATTTAGAAGGCATACGACTGCTATCAAAATGTTTGCACGCACTTCCTTTGAGTGATTGCGTCGGCAAATGTAATCATTGTCTTTTCTTTTATGTAAGTGATGTTTTGACTACTCTATTGTTCATTTTAGTAAATAATATTGCTAACACTTGTCATAACAGAGAAATGACACCGCTTGATGCTTGCATCAGTGTAGACCGGGAAGTGAAAGTGAGCACAAGCCTGATAATGAAAATTTTTACTATATTAATTGTTACATTTCTATACCATAATCATAATGTGCGTTGTCATGACTTTTTCAGAGTAATGACTGTGAAGTTCAATGATTTTACAAGAATCATGTCCAATAGTTTTGATGGGCTATTTTCTAAAGTGAAAAACATCTTTGTCCCGCGAGTCCGAGATGCTCAGAAATCGATAGAACAATACATTTTAGAAGAAAGAATTAAGCAAGCTTTCAATGATTTTGTTGAGAAAACTGCAGCTGATGCGGATACTGAAAGTCCTGAATATGCCAGCATGAAGTCCGAACCAACAGCATTGATGTCTACACCGCAGCTGGCTACCATACATGGAAGAAGAATTGAATCCCATGTCATCAAGACAAGAGACGGGTATCTGTTAACGTTGCATCGAATATTAAGTAAACACAACCAAAATGACACAAAATTTAGTAATGAAACCATTTTACTACACCACGGTCTTCTTGGCAGCTCAGCTGACTGGATACTTTTAGGGCCGGAAAAATCGTTACCATACATTCTAAGTGACGCTGGTTACGATGTATGGATGACCAATGCCAGAGGTAATTACTATTCCAGAGGTCATAAGTCAAAACCTGTGAATTCACGGTCATACTGGAGGTTCACATTTCAAGAAATGGGCGAATACGACCTGCCCGCCGCCATTGACTATGTTCGAACCTTAAAAAATTCTACCAAGAAAATAAATTATGTTGGCCATTCCATGGGTGCTACAGCATTATTGGTGCTGCTATCAACTGCTCCGCGTTACAACCAGTACTTACGAATCGGGATATTGTTGGCACCGTTGGCATTTATGTCCAATATCCAAGGTCCACTAAAAATTCTTACGAGTATGTCGACCGATCCTCCCGATCAATTGCTTAAAGCCATCGGCGACACAGAGTTCGTGCCATCCAGGAAGATCCCGAAAATGATGGCATCAAAATTTTGTAAAGGAGCAAATATTTACTGCAGCAATCCGTTGCTTTTTTTGACGGGCAGTATACCCGAACAGGAGCCGCAGGATGCAAGCTTCATGGCCAGATTGTTGTACCACGTGCCCGCCGGGGGATCAACTGACACCATAATGCATTACGGACAGCTTGTCAAGAGCGGGAAGTTCCATAGATTTGGTCGGGTTAAGTCTGAATTTCCATTGAACCAAGTTAAGCTCCCGATTGCTATGTTCAGTTCGAGCACCGACTGGCTCGCTACAGTTCCTGACGTCCTGAGGCTGTACTTTAGTATTTCAAACCCTATTGACCATTACGTAATCCGTGGTCAGAACCTGAGCCATACCGAATTCGTTTGGGGGTCCGAAGCTAACGTATTGGTGTTCCCGAAACTGATGGATTACTTAGAAAATGGTTTGAATGTTAATTTTGTTAAAGCGAACGAGGTTTGAACTGATGAATGACAATAGATCGTACAATATTGTAACCATTTAAAGATGTACAGCATTATTTGTTTTTTATTGTATTCCCCTTCTTAATAATATTCCCAAATATAAATACAAAATCAATACGTAGGTGAAACTTAATACTGTGCATTTCAAATAAAATATGGCCTAGTTTACCACCACTGAGAGAGAACACAAATAGTAGTAGGTATCATACAATCTAATACATAATGAGAAGTACTGTTAATAAGAAAGTTTAGCTAAAAAGGCATAAATTGGCACACATCTACAATTCATTAAGGAGACTCCAAATAAGCCACACTCGCATCACCAATCTCATCAAACGACAAAACTTTTAGTTACGTCCATTTTAGATTAATCTTAGTAAGTTTTGTAATAAATGTCCAACTTTGTTTGACGTGCGCTCTTTACTGCTAGTAAAAGCAAACTTCTGTTTATGATTTTGGGAACGACCCCTAAAGATAAATGACCAATGTACGTGCTCTGAGGTAAAGCTTGAAAAAATAAACAAATATATCAGACTCTAAAAGAAAGCGTACCTCAATTTCACAAATAAGCGCTCTGTAAAGAACGAAGTAAAACGGAAAAATCTTAGCACAATTCCCACCTTAAAGCATTTTGCTCTTCCTTTATGGATAAAGAAAAACAACATCTACTATTATATCGCTCTAGAATAGGTCCCGGCAAAACTTCACTCAACTTTATACAAATCAGCTTTTGTTCATTGACAATACAAAGAAAACCAACCACCAATGGAATGAGGCAGACATTGTGGAAAGGAACAAAATAATAAAAAAACGGGGGAATAATTTGCAAAACAGATTTGCATTTATTCCACTTGGAGAACATTAGTCGGGCCACATTGTTTTACTTAAACTGCTTTATTTTAATTTCCTGCATGAAAGAATTCTAATGCAAATAGAGTTTAAAACGCAGAATGATATTAAATCCATTGTTCAATAAAACGACTGTTTTCATATTCAAAGAAGGATAGGGGTTTGAGTAAATTAGTCTGTGAACTCTAGGTGTGTACGTGCGAAACCAACAACTTGTAGATAGGTATTTATTTATTTATTTAAAACTTTAACCTCGTAAGACCGAAGAGTAAATTTTGTCNTTACGAGGTTAATGCCAAAATTGAACATAAGGCAAACTTAATGCTCTAAAGCATTCTCGACCAGGTATCTACTATGTTAGTAAATATGGCTTCGTGTGGGTTTTGCACATATTATATCCAGTGTCAAGTACAAAAATAAACTTATCTAACATTAACAATTCAAGTACTCGTAAAAACGTTTTACTTAATTAAACGGGACTATTCCCACCTCTCGTTCCCACCACTGCAACTTCTGTGTAGCCACTAGCCAGGATCTACAGCTTGACCGCCATAAAAACTCAACCAATGAAGGGCAAGTTATGAAGCGGATGACAGGTGACAAACAAAGGTTTAAAACCTTAAGAAAAGATTATGCACCACGGACAATAAATATCAATTAAGGGGGCCTATTTCTATTATTATTTTAATGAGTGATAGATGTTTAATCCCCCCGTTCTCCTTGACTTGAAAGTAGTACTGAAGTAAAGTAGTAATACTGAAATAAAGTACTGACACCACCCGCAAACTTGGTGAGAGAATTTGAAGTAGGGGTAGGGCGTTGAACTGTTTTGGGCATAAATTGCCCTCATACATTTTCACGAAAAAATCAATGGTTATTAATCACACCATTATCCGCCTAAACACTTTCAAAATTTGTTTTGATGTTATGAATTTTGTGGTTTCTTAGGTACATCTGAAAATGTATCGGAACACCATGTTCGCCTTAGATATTGGGCATTGGGACCTGGGCATTATAACAAGTCAATGTCTATCTGCTTTTTGCTTGATTACATACAAGCAATCATTTTCAATGCTGTAGGCCAAAGTTGAGAAATTGGACCAAAATAGCTCAATGTTCTTTAAACAGCTGAATAAAAACACTAACAATTAATTAAAAAAAGCGACAATGGCCCAACGGTGAAGGTGTTGGATTGGCTGACTTGAGAAACGAGGAATGATGGTTCGCCGCCACTGGACTAGTGGTGAACCCACTCGTAACACAAGCATAAATTTAGCTTAGCAGGAGAGGTACACGGGACTAGTAATGGTTTAAAAAAATACTGAATGAGAGAAATTGGAGTTCAGAGAGCAAGTTAGGCCTCATTAAGCTTGAAACCTGAATTGAGATCGTATTTGTTACAATCCTAGAAGAAAACTAGCGAAAATGATTTAGTGTTTTCATCACACAGCATAATATTATCATTTAGATTATAACATTATTTAAGTTAGCAAGCGTAAAAACATCCTGCACCCATGGAGAATGAGAAATGCCTAGATTTATGTGCGTGAGTAAGTCTATGAGTCTATCATTCACATAACATGAATAGACAATAGCTATTTAATAGTGTATTTTATTAACAAAGAACATTGTTTTATTAGATATTTAAAATATTGTCATCTATGGACCTACTCTAGGTCAGTGATTAATAATATAAAATACCTGCGAACATTTTCCGGCATATAAATTGGACACTATACGAGTGAGCAGTCTGATTCAGATTTCAACAGCAATGTGGTTAATTTTTATACTTTTAATTTCTAGTGCCAATACCGAAGACAATGCAAATGGCGCCTGCATGGAACAACAATTTCGAGGAGCAGTGGAGCGTGCAGGAGGCGGTCTGGTTTCGTCTTTCGAAAAATTCAGAAATGAAGTAGAATCATTTTTTAAAGCAAACATGAAACAGATGGAACGCAGGAGAGTGACAATAAAGAAGGCATTTTTCAAATTCATCAATGAAGCCTTTGCTGACGATATTCCCGCCAAATTAAACACAACTGTCATGAGCCATGAAGAAAACTCTGAAGCTGGTGTTCTAATGGAAGAATTAGTGAAATCACATGGCTACAAAGCAGAAAGTCATGCAGTGGTGACCACAGACGACTATGTATTGATTGTTCACAGGATATTGCCACCCACCCTTAATGAGTCTGCAACAAAAAGTGGTATAGTTTTGTTGCACCATGGTCTTTTTGGTAGCTCCGAAGATTGGGTATTACTAGGACCAAAGAAATCCCTTCCCTATTTACTGGTTAATGCTCATTACGATGTTTGGCTGACTAATGCAAGAGGAAACAAATACTCGAAAGCACATATGAGTCGAACAATGACTGATGATGAATTTTGGAACTTTTCCTGGCATGAGATTGGGCAGTTTGATCTATCAGCAGTAATTGACTACATACGTGAACAAAACGATAAAGATCAACCTTTGCACTACGTTGGGCATTCGATGGGAGCTACAGCACTTTTAGCACTTTTGACGACTTATCCTACTTACAACCAGGTCTTAAAATCGGCTGTTCTGTTAGCTCCTTTAGCATTCATGTATGAAGTGAAAGGACCAATACGACTTCTCGCTGAATTTTATAATCAAAACACGTTTGTGTCATTAAAATTTTTAGGTGCACATGATTTCGCTCCACTGGAATACTTTCCAAGGAATTTCATTGAAAAATTTTGCAAAGGTACTAAAATTATGTGCTTAAATCCTTTATTATTATTAGCAAATGGAGGACGAGAGATAGCAAATAAAACTCTAAGACAAAACATTTTGAATCGTGTGCCAGCAGGAGGGTCAATGAAAACTATAATTCATTATATCCAGCTTGTGAAAAGTGGTCAATTTCAAATGTTTGATATGGGTAGATCGCAGAATTTGAAAAAGTATGGGAGAGTGGCGCCTCCAATATACCGTTTGAACGATGTTACATTACCAGTGGCTATATTTTCATCTTCAGATGATTGGTTATCAACAATTCCAGATATTCAGAGTTTGTTATCTAATATACTGAACCCTGTTATACACCATGTAATCAAAAGACATGAATTCAGTCACACCGACTTTGTATGGGCAGAAGACGCAGATGTATTGGTTTACTACCTCATTTTAGACGTATTGAAACAAATAACTGAGGGAAGAAATGATAAAAATATGTAACAATAATACCATTAAAATTATTTATTTCGATTAATGAGTTTGACTATAAACCCTTATAAACTCTACCAAAGTAAATAGCTATTGAAACCTAATGTTATTGGTATTTTAATATTTTTAGTGTCATTTAATAATATTAATTAAATCATAAGCAGATAACTTTTTAAATAACAGAAAAATCATTGTCTCAGATGGGTGCAATTCTAATTTCAAAGTAAACCACAATGTTTTATTTTATATTTTATACACACCTTTTTTCGAAGACTGCAATGAGTGACTTAAACGACAGTCCATTTTTTCACCTCTCCAGAGACCGATTGAAGTTCTTTCCATGGCGCAGCACGACTTGTGCGATAGCCATGGCGAAAAAAGGGGTGCGGTGAAAGGTAATGATACAAAATAAAAGAAAAAGATACGAAAAACTGAGAAAAAGGTATAAAAGTGCAAAAAATTATTACCCCTTGTTTGTGTGCATATTTTTATTATGCGATAAATTAAATTAATAGAAGTTGAACTGAGTTGAACTTTCTGTGTCATTTTATTTTATCTAAATAACATTAAAGGTACATAAAATTATAGCTTGTGCTACCTGACAGACACGCTATCAGTGAGCGTCAGCTGCAGGTTTTTACCGCGCTATAGCTTAGGAGCGGAGCAGACGGGCTACTTTTTGCGGATGCATCGATGTTTTTGTTATTACACAAATTACTAGTAGTCCCGTTAGCCCCTCGTACTAAGCTAAAGTATGCTTGTATCACGAGTGAGCTCACCAAGTGACTATTGTGGTCAATAGTCGAGCGGCGGCGGGGACCGAACCCGCGTTCCCCGGATCACGCACGAGTCGGCCAGTCCGACCTCTTCACCGTTCGGCTATCGTGGCTTCGACGCCTATGTTAAGTACCTACTTAATATACCTATATTGTCTACTTTGCGGTAGATATTATCTATAATGACTGTAGACTGAATCACTTTTGAGACCGGATTTCATAGTTTAGGACATCTAAAAATAAATCATCTATTTATGTAGTCTTCCATCTATCTTTCGAAAACAAGTTAAAGGTATTTGGGATGTTCGCAAGATGTATTCAGAAAGCTTAGGGCGATAGCGAGGTGTATTAAATCAGTTTGAGACTCGTTATTTACCCCTCCACAATCTAAAAAATTGTTATAACACAAGCTTTAATTAGTTTATGTACGGATTTTAACGTCTGTCTATTGCGTCTTAAAGTCGCTCGTGTACTCCACCCCGCAGGCTGGACAAATGTTGTTAATTTCCCACGTGCCCTATTCATGGTGTGTACAGTTAGCGCGACAAACCTGCCTCCGCGCCGCACATTTGTGAAAGCTGAATTTGGAAATTTATCTTTGCGAATATTTATAGCGCTGCCAGCGCTTGCTAATGAACGCTGAAAGGGATCATTTTAAATGATACGATCGGAATGTTTTGGATATTGTCATTTGCTTTGCTAAACGCGGTTTGTTGATAAATATAGAGTAGAATATTTGACAGCACTACAACTTTACATACGGCATGTTTTCCCCTTTTACCGAATGGAAATAAACAACCCTTTTTACAATCTGTCTGTCATTAATTAAACCTGTCCCAATGCCTGTTCGTGGGATGTCAAACCTTTTAAATTGCATTGAACGACTTCCCGAGCTCGATTGAGTTGTTTTGCATACCTAGTTATGTCAGTGTCATTTGTCAATAAACTGTTTGTCTGTGCATGAGTCTAATATGCTTGAGTGTCGATCCATCACTGTGTCGACATGTTATGGACAAGCTTTATTTTAAAAACTTTTTTTAACAAATCTCTGTTTTATTTTTGGATTTATATTTGTGCAGTTGTTACTTTAAATAAAATGTATAAGTTATAAGCTCTGCCGCTACTGAGTCAGTGTCTGAGGTATGGAAGCGGCACTGGAGGCCTTGCAGAATCCTTAAGTTTACCTTATCTATTTTTAGATGATCAAACGAACTTACTAAGTGAAGTTCGATCTGAATTATCCTGTTTTCGCCGAAGAGATTTATTTTACCGTGTAGTACCCCTGTACGACAAGCCAATCCGCACACAATATTCAGCGTAGTAGTAGTAAAAAACAAAAGAGCGGGCAACCCCACCCCTACCACGCTGTGGGCTCGGTGTCCGAGCGGTCTCATTATATTTAGAGAAGAGATGACATTGACGTTTACCTCCAGGGAAGAAGATATAGAAATCTTCGGGTTGGGAGGGACCTTAAATCTCTTCGGCGAAAACAGGATAATTTAGATCGAACTTCACTTGGTAAGTTCGTTTGATATACGGTGCAGGTATTTCCCGAAGCAACCATGCCCGGTCAACACCTGCACCATGCGATATGTGAGAGAACCACTGCTCCTCTCTACCCACTGTCGTAAGCAAGGTTGTAGAGCGGCGACTGTTCGATGCCCAGCACTGGGCTCCTCCAGCCATTCTGCCCACTCATCTAACATCAAATCACGGGCCTCCTCTCGCCAGTGCTCGATTTCGCGGGGGGCAGGAGGGTTACCATCGCGCCTAGCGGCAGCGGTTCGGTAATATACCTCTGACAGCACCTTGGCCTCGAGCTCCCACGGTGGAGTGCCCGCGAGTGCACATGCTGCTTCCCTTGAGGTCGTGCGGTATGCCCGTGCAATCCTCTGTGCCATTGTTCTTTGCGGCCTCCTTAGTGTTGTGGTATTGTCGCGCCCTAATGCATCAACCCAAATGGGGGCGCCGTATAGGGCCATAGATCTAATAACCCCTGCAAAAAGGCGGCGACACCCCGTGCGTGGGCCTGCCAAATTGGGCATAATCCTACTCAAGGCACCGGATGCCCTCAGTAGCTTGGGTGCGAGAGCTTTAAAGTGGGCCTTAAAATTCCACCGGCTGTCAAGGACCAGTCCTAAGTACTTCATGGTACCCCCGACGCCGATGGAGACGCCACCCACAACAAGTTCCGACCCCACTGGCGGTCTTCTCCGTGGCCCATGGAAGCAAATCGCTTCCGACTTTTCTAGTGCTACCCTAAGTCCAAGTCGCCGAATGCGACTTTAAAAAAGACGTTACCCGTGATAATTTTACAAAAATATTTAGTAAATGAAGGCCATGAATTGTTTTTTTATATTAGGTTGTGTTTACATTACCCGTTGCCGTAGTGTTGTGTCGTAAGTATAAATGAAATCTTAAGTTTAGGCTGTAGCCTACTTACAATCGAAATTGGTAAAGTCGACCCCAAATCCCCAATAGAATCAGGCTATATTGCAAAACAAATAAATCCGGGTAACATTGACACCGGATCGTCCAAGTCCCGAGGTGATATGAATAAACCTTTCTTTGATTACAAAGTGAGTTCACAGATCGATGTCTATTTCGGTGGATTTTCATCCTAAGTATCTTATTTACACGGTTGCCTCGTGCTATTGACGTAGACTGTGAAAAACGAATTGCTCAACTCATGCCTTAGCGCTCCTGCACACGACGCCGCTACCGCGCCGCCGCCGCGCCGTCGCCGCGCCTTTGCACTGTTCATACGCACCGAGTAAAACCGCCGCCGCGCCGCCACCGCGCCATCAAAGCATAATTTCGCCCATGACGCGGCGGCGGCGCGGCAGCGGTGTTCACGCGGCGCGTATAAACAGTGCAAAGGCGCGGCGACGGCGCGGTGGCGGCGCGGTAGCGGCGTCATGTGCAGGAGCGCTTAGGCAGTACCTAGAAGACTCAGTTATGCGTAACAAACGCGTCAATATAAAAAATCACTAAAGATTGAGTTAACTAAATTATATTAGCGAACACCAGCACTTATACTAATTACATTTAGATACCTACTAATGAGTTATAATTAGGTAACCGCAGTAATAATGCACTCGTCTAGACCTACAGGTTTTGGTTGTTTATTTTTCTATCCCATCAGTGCAATGCAATGATGACATTCACCAATTGACAATAGTTTTTTTATTTAAAATAAATAATAATGGCAGGTTGAACCAACAAGAAGGTTTTAGTTTATCAATCATATTAATCTTCTTAACAAGATAAATCGTCAAACAACTTTGATCTGAATAATTTTGAACTTTACTGACGAACAGTTAAAGATTATTTTCTCTAACTCGAGATTATTCTGTATCATAGTTTCAAAAGGTAATATGTGCTCGCGATTCGTTGAAGGAATCAATTTGAAAACTGACGAACCTTTTCATTCCGTGACTGTACTATAACCTTTTAAAACTACTAACCTTAGGGTTCTATACTTTTCAAAATGACCGCAAACTTATGCTGGGTTGCACCATCTTACTTTGACTTTAACAAACGTCAAAGATCTGTCAAACTCCATACAAAAAGCACCGGTTAATGTTGTAGTTACGGTTAATGTCAGTTGGTGCAACTCAGCCTAAGCAAAGGTTTATTCCTAGTTAAGTTAGTAATGAAAAACTAAATACTTACGTCTCTCTCTAGCACAGAGCAACGAATCTTTGCGTTAGTACCTACTACCCACTTGTCTATCAGTAAAGGAATTTTCTAGAATCAGATCAAGCGTCCCGGAGATTGCTCACTTTAGAAAATGTACTTTCAAGTTACTAGAAAATCTGATTTGCATAGTCAGAACTAGCTTTTTCCCGTGGCTTCGTTCGCTAATGTCAATGTGTTGACATTGCATCCCTGTATCAAAAACTGGGACAAAAACTATCCTAAACTCGACTTTTGACATTTGTCAAAGTAATAAAAAGCAAAGTCGTTGATATTTTGTTTCCTTTTAAAAAAGCGGGCTTGATGTGAAGAGTCATTTAAGAGATAACAGACACCATCTAAATGAAATTAAATAAAAAGGTAACCGATAGTAGACACAAAAA